TGTGTGTGTGTGTGTGTGTGTGTGTGTGTGTGTGTGTGTGTGTGTGTATGCCTGTAAAATTCAGATGAGGTGGTGAGTCACCTGGAACTGGAGTTATAGGCAGTTGAAGCTGCTTGTGTGGGTGCTGGGTTCTCTCTGGTCCTCCGGAAGAGTGGCAGGTACTCTTAACGGCTGAGCCATCTCTCCAGCCCCTAAATCTCGTTTCTTAGATTTGTCTCTCAATGGGTTAAGGTGATCTATGGGAAGAGTGATTGATGTGTTTATTTTAAAGATGTTGAGAATAAAGTACACAGTCCAACAAACTAATGCACCTTCCCACTCCTAGCTTATATGTGAGAAGTGGAGGGCACATGGCAGTGGTGTAGGAACAACTTTGTTTGTTGATTATTTCCTACCACTGTGTGTGGTTTTTACACAGTGTTGCTCTTAAACAATTGCATTGTAAACCATCAATGATTCACAGGTGCCAGATTTGAGCTTGGCACACCATGGTGTCATTCAGAAGGTGTGGGTTTCTGATGTGCTGGCTGTGATTTGTTTTCTGCAGCATTTGATGAACTTGTTGAAGCATATGAGGAACAGGCCAAAGGACTGCTGGATGGTGGCGTTGATATCTTACTCATTGAAACTATTTTTGATACAGCCAATGCCAAAGTAAGTGAGGGGAAGAATGGCGTGGGATGATGGAGGGCTGTGAAGAATTCTGTACAGTTAGAAGATAATAGTAGCTGCTGCTGAAGTTAAACAAGTTCCTGTGTTTGCTCCATTTTTGTCTGTCTCTGACGGCCTCTTTCATGAGTGTGCCACACCTGAGTCTAGAAACAGTATTTCCTTTTCAGTAATTTATGCCCTCTGCTCTTTTTTTCTATTGTATGTTTAAAAATGATGTGTGTGTGTGTGTGGGTCTATGCACATCAGTACAGATGCCCACGGGGTCTAGAAGCATCTGATTCCACCTGTAGCTAGAGTTACCAGTGGTTTTGAGCTGCCTGATACGGTTGCTGGGAATCAAACTTGGGTCCTCTGGAAGAGCAGTGTGTGTTCCTAACCACGGAACTAGCAGATACACACCTGAAAAGAATCACAGTATTGTTTTTATTGGAAACATGGGCAGCTAAACAAGAATATAAAGCACTAGGGTAGGTTTTTTTTTTTTTAATTTGGTGGAAAAGATTAAAGAGTTACTGAATTTTTAAGTTTTAAAATATGTGGCCTGTATTGCTTATGCAGTTTCATGTGGAAGTGTATATGTGTACACATGCATTTATGTGTATATACGTATGCATGTGTAAGGGGGCGTGTGGAAGATGGAGGATAAACTTGGTGTCATCCTCAGGAGTCCTTAAATTTAAAGGATGCCATCCACTTCATTTAAGGTGGTTTCTCATTGTTGTGGATCTCTCCAATTAGACTGGCTAACCAGCAAGCTCCAGGGACCTTCTGTTTCTACCTCCCCAGAACTGGGATTACAAGTGTGTATCACCAGCTTTTAAAGTGGGTTACAGGGATTGGACTCAGGTCCTCATGCTTGTAAGGAAAGTGTTTCATCAACCGATTATCTTTGATATTTATAAATTTATAACACTTTATTTTGTATACATGTGTATGTGTGTGGGTATGTGAGTGCCATAGTGCATCAGTGTTTATGTCGGTGGATACTTGGGGAGTCAGTTCTTTGTTTCCACCATGTGGTCCCTTGATCAAACTTAGCTATCAGGCTTGGCAGTGGGCACCTTTACCCACTGAATCATCTTGCAGGCTCTATACATTCTTTTTTATAATAGAAATTTTTCCAATGATATATTAGGGATTTATTTTGAAGTATGAAGTAGGGAGAACATTTGTGTAAGATTATCTCCTTTTCCTAATAACATCTGTTAAACACTTTATTTTTCATTAATTTTTTTCATTTTATGTTTATGTGTTTTTGCTTGCATGTATATTTATATATCATGTATATGCTTAATGCCCACAGAGGCAAGCGAGAGCTTGGGATTCCCTGGAACTGGGGTTACAGAGGGTTGTGAACTGTCACATGGGTGTTGGGCATTAAACCTGGGTCCTCTGTAAGAGCAACCTGTGCACTTAACTGTTGAGCCATTTCTCCATCCCTACATACTTTATTATTTCTCAGTGACATGAACGATGCATAAGACAATGATAGACCCCAGACCCAGGGTACTACCTTCTCGAGTGGGTGCCCCAAGAACCCAGACTCCGGTCCAGTTGATGCAAACAGCAGGAGGTTTATTGAAGTGGCTGTACAGTCGGGCTCCCCTTGTCCTGAGGGCAAGAGTCGCATCTTACTGCAGCCACATAGGTACTTTTAAAGGAAAAACCCACAAAAGCCACAAGATTACAATTCCCATACAATTTTGTTTTGATTGATTTGTGTCTAGAGGCTAATTTCACAAGATCATGGCCTGATCACAGGGTGGGTACAGTCACGTCTGCATGCACATTCTTCCCGAAACCTCAAGGGGGGTATCAGGGTAGGAGTGAGAGTTACACAAAGATTACAGTGGTCTTTCCTGGAACACTTGCAATTATCTCAGTCACAGTTGAGCACATCTCTTAATAGAAATCTCTTTATATTGTTACATTGTGGCAAGGGTGGCCGAGTCAGTTTGCCCTTGGACTAGCTTTTTTAGTTCCTCATTCTCCTGGGGCTTGGGGGGTGTAAGCCTGAAGGGTTAGGGTCTTTCAACAACCTGTCTTGGTTAGTTTTTTGTCAAATTGATACAAGTCAGGGTCATTTGGGAATAGGGAGCTTCAACTGAGAAAATGCTTCCATCAGATTGGCCTGTAAGGAAGTTTGTGGTTGATATGGGAGGGCCAAATTCACTGTGGGTGGTGCCTCTCCTTGGCTGATGGTCCTAGGTTGTATAAGGAGACTGAGTAAGGCATGGGGAGCAAACCAGTAAGCAGTATTCCTCCATGGTTTCTGCTCAGTTCCTGTCTCCAAGTTCCTGCCTTGGCTTCTCCTTTGATGGACTGTAACCCATAAGACAGATATAAACCCTTTCATCCCTAAGTTGCTTTTGGTCATGGTATTTTATCACAGCAATGGAACTAAGACACCCTAAATTCTATAGTCCTTTCCAGAAGTCTGTTCATGTGGCATTACTATATTGTTTGCTACAGCTTTAGAATAGTTTGAATGACTGGTAGTTCTTTTACCTAGAACTTTTCTGGCTATTCTGATGTTTTTGTTTTCTATAAGATTTTAAGAGTAAAAAAATCTTACATAGCCAGGGGGTGGTGGCTCATAACTGGGCGGTGGTGGTGTACTCCTTTAATCCCAGCATCAAGGAGGCAGAGGCAGGTGGATCTCTGAGTTTGAGGCCAGCCTAGTCTGTAAAGAGAGTTCCAGGACAGCCAAGGCTGTTACACAGAAAAACTCCTGAAAAAAACAAACAATAACAACAACAAAACCCCAAAACTATAAGATTTTAAGGGTATAAAATTTTTCACAGCCAGGCAGAGGTGATGCACACCTTTAGTCCCAGAACTCAGGAGGCAGGGTCAGGCAGATCTCTGAATTCAGGCTAGTCTGGTTTGGGGTGGCGAGAGCTACATACCAAAACCCTGTCTTGAAAAACAACAAAACAAACCAAAAAAACCAAAACAACAAGAACAACAACAACAACAAAAAAAAAAACAACCCAAAAACAAAAAAGATTTTAAGGATCATTTTTTTTTTTTCTAAAATAGGAATTCCAGTTTGTTGTTTTTATCACAGAGTCTTGCTATGTAGCCCAGGCTGACCTAGAACTGGTCTCCTAGGCTGGCCTCAAACTTGAGGTCCTTCTACCTCAGCCTTTCAAGTATTGCCATTACATGTGTGCATGACCACACCAGCATTCAGTGTTGTTGACTTAAGAACTTTCCATGAAAAACAAAACAACCCATCACTGGAAAAACTCATCTAAATGACAAGTTACATTCCAATTTCAGAGGTGTTCATCTTCACATCAGTGACTAATGGTAAAAGGGAGAAGAAGTAGAAGAGTACTGCTTGGGACTTAAGCGTGGACTGTTAACAGAGGGAAGCAGTTTTACAACCCAGGCTCCTGAGGATTTTTCTAGGGATGCACATCTTTGGTTCTTTACCTACCTTTGATGTATGGGAAGGGCTGACAAATAGGCAGGGCATTTTGTTGTATTTACTTTTGTTTTGATTGAGGGAGGAAAGAAAGAAAAGTTAGCTCTTCTGCTCTACTTCAGAGGAAATAATTAGCTTGTTAGGTGAATTCAGATTATTTTATTTTATTTTATTTTTATGGTTCTGGGGTTGAACCCAGGACTTGAGCACCATGCTAGGCAGGGCTCCACTTCTGAGCCATTCCCTTACCTGAGCACTGGTTAGTGTGTCAGAGTTACACTTGAGATCCCTCACCTGAGCA